TAAGATATATATAAACTTTCATTTAATTAATATGAGCACAAAATGCTAATAAGTCTGAATTTACAGAGTATAAACATGCAGATTCTTGTTCAAAATGGCTGGTGTGGTAAACAGTCAGGATAATTTTCCTATGGCTTTCTTAAACAAAATTATGGAAACAAATTTGCCGCTAATGGAAAAATGAATTTAAAAGTCTATAAATATTTTACTTTATTCATTTATATCAAATGGCAGGCATTTTGATAGTTATCATTAGCCCTTAGTTGACTTCGGGTTCACAGAGGGGAGAATATCGAAACCACAAATAGTCGAGCGAGGGGGGATAAAAGAGTAATTCAAGGGTGTAAAAGAAGCAGACAAGCACAAAAGCAAAGAAAAGGTGAGGTGAGTACTGTGGAAGCAGTTGAAGATACCATACAATGGGGTCATGGTAGTTAGAAATCAGTAGTCAACTACGGGTTAATAGACTCTCTTGCCGTATGAGTTAACGTTGCCCAGGGTACGCCACATGGAGGTAAGTCTATCACACACACACACTCACACACACACACACACACACACACACACACGCCAGTCTAGAAATAGTACAGTTCATATTTTACAAATGTTCAGTGTTTTAGTGACTGGGACGGCCTTTAACTCTTTTTGAATAAAGTAAAGTTCATTTACACAAAAATAACTTTCACAGAAAATTATTATTACTAATTTCCATGGCCTCTGTAAGTTTTTAAATGAGAAATCGAATTCAGACCATCAGAAGTCCCACCCTATTTGAATTCTGGAAAACTTGAATTACTCCCATTTTCCAATAATGAATAGCTAATCTATATTAGTTCATATTCAAATTCCATGGTTACTTCTACAGCTTCAAGATGTGAGAGGTTATAATATTCATGATATTCAGAAACTTTTGAAAAAAATAATTTAGTAGTTGGCTTGACAAGAATAATGCTCTTGGTTTGAATTTATACCAGTTATAGCCATCAATATTATCATAATTCAATTCGGTTTAACGAGACACCTTTAGTTACATCGACAAAACGACATTCACCACTTCACCAATTCGAAAAGTGAAGAGTAGAAGCATAAACACTAAAAATTCATAAATCCAATTAGAATTTACCATTCCTCTTAAGTAAAATTTATTTTAATATCGCTTTATAACTGCTTTATTCTGACCGCTGAAACGAGCATTAACGATTCGATTTAATGTCAATACAGTTTCTTTCAAACATACTACTTATAATTCTTGAGTATAGTACGTTCTTTTAGCATGAAAATGAGCATTTCTTTTTATTTTTAACAGGTCCGAGATACATTCTCGATCTCAAATTTCAAAAAAAATGCTATGAGCATTTATAAAATACCTCTAACTAGATTAGTATTCTTGTTAGATTAGGATGTTTGACCCGTTATGTGGGGCATTGAAATCTAAAATTTTCCTCTTTTTAATAGTAGACTAGGCTTAGATAGCATTAATTCGATTATATTCACTCTTGGTTTTGGCAGGTCCTAACTGCCTATCAATCCGATTGCAAAATTCAATTGTATCTGTAGCGATTAAAATTAATTAATGCAAGTGCGTGCATCTCCAGATCATCACCTTGATTGACCTTCAAAAGTTAGCTTAGTCAGGGTTGGTTTGAATTCGAAGAATTCTTTTTTTAGCTAACAGTTTGGAGTACAACTTTATTAAAGCGATAGGTTTATAAGAAAATCATATAAGCTAAATAAGATATTCTAACTAAATTACAATTACCGATGCATTAAATCAAATTGAATCACTTGTGCTTCTTGGCTTCCGTAATAATGAACATTCTAATATTTCCATTTCGATCTCACATTAAATGTTCATTTTAGCTAATTTCACCTCGGGAACACTTTTTACCTGAATGTACTTTGAATGAGGCCAAGTTGGCAAAAGCCGTACTAACTGTTGACTAGTAAAGTAAGCGTTTGAAAGAAAAATATACCATAGGTAGTAGGACAATTATTTCAATTAATGAACTGCTAAATAAGCTCTGAATTTAATTTTTTAAATAAAATATTTGAATCTGAACTTCATGATTAGAGCTAGAGGATGTTGGCAGTATTCACGATTAACACTGTTACGACCTAAAATCAAAAGACAGACTTTAAAAATAACACTATTGCAGCCTAGTTTCTGTTTCCTATCTCTACTAGTTATCTTTCTCATTACCTCTATTGAGCTGCAATGCTTTTCGTCCTGTTTGGAACTGTTTCCACGAAGTGAAACAATTTTTGTCTAACCTGGTACAAAAACTTAATTAATTTATGCTACTTTTTATTTTAAGTAGCTATTAAAAATAGGCTTAACTACTCTTGAGCTCATTGCAGCGCATAGCCTATCGATTTCACTCGTATACGCGTCAGTTACCTTAGCAACCATGGCATTTATTTCATTGCAATGTGGAATTTTTCACAGGTAGAACTGAAGTCTTGTAAGCTCAAGTTGTGCTATTTATTAACCAAAAAGCGACATTTATTTTGTACTTTCTTTAGTATTTTATTCATTTGGGAAAGTAGCCTGTTATCTAATAAGAAAAATAGAGAAACAGAGTAACTTATTTCTTAACGCTCTAGAAAGCATGGGGACAAATTTTGTAAAAAAATTATGCGATAAAGAGTGAAATGATTCTGCATATCTCACCCTGCCGCTTATTCAGCCTGAATGCGAGCCATTGACCTGATAGCATTCATCAATCGACGCACTGCAAGGCGTTTGCATGCTAAGCATAGATCAAATCTAACTGATGGCTAAATCGAATCTTATTGATATTTAATGATTGTGCTAATATGTTTATTGTAGCAGAAGCAGATGTCATAGAATACTGGTTAACTTGCTGTTAAGTACATTACCTTATTAGCATTATTATTAACTTACAGTTGTAATATCGCCTCTCTTATTTTACGTTTATGATAAATGGTGACCTAAACTTCAGAATATTTAATCATAATAATTGAAAGGTAAAAAAGCCATGTTAAGATAAGCTCGCCTATTTGGCTGTAATTTGTTGTCAAGGCGGACTCGACTGCCATTTCTCGCGTTGATTATTTTAGCTCTACTTCCCTATCATTGGATAGATACGTTGAGTTAAATGACGTCCTTTATTAAACGGCGGCCAATTAAATCCTAACCTTGTTTTCTGTTCATGGTGGTAAACACGGCAAAGTTTTATTGGACGATCGTGCGTCATCTCGACTGTTTGCGCTTGAGAGTTGACACCAATAAGCTCTCGGCCTTTACAGCAAATTTTACCCCGAAATTTTTGTCAAAATTAAGCCATAATGATCTCTGAATCGGTAATATGCGCATAACACTAGCTTACACAATTATTTGGTATTCGTATTGTTCACGAAGGGATAAAATGCCAAATACGCTACCCACTTAAATGCACTTTTTTGTGAGCGGCTCTGGTTGCAAAGAACTCTTAAACTCCAGTGATAATAAAATGAGGTTATTCGAGTATAGCTCAATCCTTACGTTATGTGATTTCTTACTTAAGACAAATAGGCTTAACAGGGGAACTGTAAGCTGCTCCTAGAGTGCTTAGTCATCACTTCATGGAAAAGGAAAGTGAACACCGTCGAATAAACAAACCGACATCATAAATAGCGAGTAATCGATGATGGAAGCCAAATGCAAACCAAAGAGTGAAATCAACTGAGTGTAAACAAAGTAGCGAATCAGATAAGAGAGCTAGTAACAACAGAGGTGGTAACTGTACCTATCACCAAGCGGTAAAGCTATAAAGTTGCACTTCGATAAATGTTTCATTTGTCGTAGAGAGATGGTTAGATTAGCCTAGGCAAAACAGCACACATTACATTAGCTAGAAGAAGGAGTTAGCAAGCAACAGGGGTTTTGGATAGGCTTGCGCCAGCATGCACAACCATGAGATGATCCAACCATTGGATACGAGTCGGCAACCATCTACGTGTGATAGTGAGTTAAAGCACCAATAAGCCTAGGCGACCCCACCGGACAGACCCATTCGCTAATGCTTCACCAATGATTGAAGACTCGTAATACACACGGACCAATATATTTTCAATCAAAATCTGCATTGGTTCAGTCGCTCTCGGCATAAGCGAGAGAGAAGAGAGAATCAGTGCGCCCTAACAATCCGGCGTCCAATTCCCTTCAAGCAAGACGCGTGGAATATGTAGCTGGAGACTTACTTCATTTAGTGGTCGCGCCAAGCTGACGACCTATCACTGCATTGCTTTACAAAGCATGGTCCAATGGGCGACACCTCACAACCATTGCGCCAATGAAATGATAAATGTCAACAACAAATAGTAAAATGACGGTAAAAAATTCAAATATATTATACTTTTGCTAATTTGATAACTTTTGATGCGAGTTGTTCATTCAATTTCACGAAATTTGAATTAATTCGTGTTTTAATGTGCCAAGCGCCATTTTGCGCGCGCGAAGGTATCACAACGGAATAAGCTTTGTTTCGCTCTGTTTTACTGCTCTTTCTACATAAATGTTAGTTTATTTTTATTTAATTTTATTATTATTCGTTGTTTTTTTGAATTTTTTGGCATTTCGTTCGTTATTTATGTTCGTTTTATTTCTATTTTCCGCTTATTCGTTGTTATTTACTATCAGAAGGTGGTTGATTAGATTTGGCTTCTTTGTAACATGCAGCTAAGCTTATTTGAACCCTATTGGCGATTTTTTGTGATAATTATGAAAATCTGTTTATTAATGATAATACAAATAACAATGTGATGTAATCGGCCAATCAGAGACGCAATTTCTTTTTACTCCAATCAAAGCTTGACTTTCAGTGAAGCGCTGTCATATGATAGCCAGGTACATTTATGATCCAATAATGTTTTTGGAGTCTAGGTCACTATTTAAAATGGAAGACATCCGTGCATTCGGGTGTCACGCCTGCAGATGTTTCATCTGATTCTCTGATGTCTTATTCCTTTACAGGGAAGGATATATTCAAACTGGTCAAATGGTTCCGACCCAAACTATTTTGCAGCCTCTTCAGCAGCAATTGATTATGGATCCAAATGGAGCTGCTAACGGCCAACAACCGGCATTTGCTTTTCAGGCTCCTGATGGAAGTATTATTCCAGTTCAGATCGCTGCATCTTCTAATGGAGGTCCGATTATGTTGCTGATGCCAACTCAAACAACTGGCCAGGGTGGTCAAACTGTCTACACAACTCAAACTATAGCGGCTGGAGGCAATGCAGCTACAGCAACAATTGATGCTTCTGGTCAAGCAACGATGATCACCTCTGCTGTTGAGGATGAGAACAACCAAGCAGCTGCTTTGCAGCAACAACAAGCTGCTCAACAAGCCCAACAAGTTCAGTTGGTCCATCAACAAGGAGTTACCGTTACTCAGACTGCTGCCAATCAGCTTCTCCAACAAACCGCAGCCCAACAAAGTAGTGCTCCTATGACTTCAGTTGGTCCTGAAGAACCGCTCTATGTTAACGCCAAACAGTACAACCGAATTTTGAAGAGACGTCAAGCTAGAGGCAGACTAGAGGCTCAGGGTCGAATTCCCAAGGAAAGGCGGAAGTATTTGCATGAATCCCGCCATCAGCACGCTATCAAGCGTGTTCGAAATGCCGGTGGTAGGTTCTACTCGGCATCATCCAGTAAGTAAAACGGTTAGTGCGCAACCTGGAACACCGGGTTCCAGTTACGTTTAAAATTTTTAAATCCTTTTCTCGCTCTCATTTGTAAATTATCTTCTCTACCGTCTTTTTCTGTTCTTTTAGGTTACTACGATGAATCTCAATGAAGCGTCGAAAATCAATGCGCTCTGTCAATTTTTTATTACCGTCTCCACCCTTGTCTCTTTCTCCTTGTCTTGTGCGTTTATTGTTGTCGTTACAAGTACCGTATCAGATACTCCTCAGAATTTAATTACAAACCGTCGAATTGATTCGCTTTGTATAGCCTATTATTTTTTGTCATTGTATATAAATTTAGTCCAGAATAAAGGTCAATAAGCCTTTAATTTTATTCGCTGTTTTTTTGGTTTTAATAAAATTTTATGGTATGGACTATGCTACTTTTGTTCGACGAGTAGGATAGTTAAAATCTAATTATTCATGTCCATATTGTGAGCAGTAAAAACTTGGCTTGCTAATGGGTATATGGGACTCCTACCCGTGCTTGTTCTCAAGTTTGATAAATGATCCTCGGTGGAACCAATGCTAGTAAGCAAACACTCGTTTGTGTTGCATAGGGAATGAGACATTTATATCCACTATCGGTGTCTCCAATCTAGGAATATTTTTAGGCTTCCCTGGGCGATAAGGCGCGATCATTTGTCTTTGTTGTGATCAACCTTTTCCGCCATTTGTTTGAATGGGGAACTATGAATGCTTGTGACGGTGTCTAAGCTTAGAAGGTTGATAGTGACCTATCTTTAAACCAATATGGCTCTTCACAAATTGGAAAATCTTAAAGATTTTGATTTAAAACGATCAGCGAACCTGAGACTATTCATTTGTCGGTCTTTCGTCGAGTGTCGGGGGGGGGGGGGGGGCCACAAACGATCCTCATACAGCCAACTTTTTGCATCAAATTCTTCCATCATTGCTTGGAAATCTTCGTTCTAGATGTTTCCCTGTTTATGAAATGATTTTACTTAGATGATATCTAAATTTCGTCTTTCTTCAAGTTCAGAATATCAGTGTTCTGCAAGACAATTTCGGAATCGGTGGGATTGATTTACGGTATATGGTTATTTCTAACGTCTGATTGGCTAACCGTTTATTTACCTTCCAGATGTTCTATTTTTAGCCTGTTTACTTCAGCAAGTTTCTTGAATATGCGTTTATTCTGTCTACGTTGGCTTGTTCAAATAATACTTTGGCTTTATAAATGGATAAAGTAAATTTGAAGACTGGGATCAGGTAATTTTTTACATTGAGGTGAATGTCCTGCATGAGACTGAAATAAAGCTAATCAACAAGTAGGTTTCTATAAGTACATGAGGATAATAGGTAAAAGGTCTTTAACTTGGTGTGAGAGCAAAAAACCTATGCTCTAATACGTAAGCGCGTGCAATTGCGCCAACTTTCCTCGAACTAGGTCAATTGGTTGGGTGACTAATTTCTTCTGATCGATACACACTGGACCACACCTGTTTCAGTTGCCCTCTACGTCGCTGTGGCAACGCCTCAGTTAGCAATAAAAAAGGCAAGCGTATTTTGGTCGCGCAGTCCTAAGTGTCGAAGCCTCCATTTTGCATCATTTTAGTGCCAGCTTTCATTGGTATCTACTCACTGAATTTGTAATTATATATGCCTAGTTATCACCTCTCAACTCATAGTGGGAGGTGAAAGTAAATTACCGAATTCCAATGTATCATACAGTTCTTCAGGCTCAATAAAGAAGAAATGTGTGTTGGGGTGGAAATTTTATCGACCAATTTGCCTTGATAAAAATTCAGTAAATTGTGCATATTTTTCCTCAATAGGCGGGTTGGTGAAGATGTAATTCCTCATTTTGAAATCTGAACGATCTTATTAATCATGGTAGCCCGTTAGAGTTAATACTACTTTCATGATAAATCACAGCCGTTGTACTCAGCTGATTTCCAGACATTATCGCGAACTGATGACTTACCACTTTCTCGAATATTTAGGCGTCTTGAGACCTGTATAATGCCTTCCTTCATTTAATTTAGCTCTTAAGGAAAGTAGTCTGAAGTCCCTGCTTTGTTTATTTGCGCCACGTTTAGAGTCTTCGTTTCCGAGGTTAAATATATTCAAATTCAAACCAGCAAAAAATTCAATTAGCAAGCTGTGTAACATTCTCAATAGCTGAGCTTGTACCTAAAAATTATGAACTGTTTCCAATTCATTTACCATTTTCCTTTATAATTATCCTAATACTATAAAAGCTGTCAGTCTCGATGGGCCAATGAACTTTCATTCTGCTCCAAAGTATAAATGCCAGTCCTTTATTACAAATGAAGCGGTGTGAAATCGGCAGCTGTGGTAGTAGTCACTAAATCTGCTAATTGAGGGTGTATAATGTTTAATAATTAACACTGAAATTCGCTTTAAGTCACAAATCGATATCACTCATAACGTCTCATAAGTGTACAGAGGATGGTTATTTACCTCAATCTCAATTTCGAAACAAGAGAGAGGTGTATGATAGACTCATCTCCACGCGGTGCACCCTGGGCAACGTATACTCATACGGCAAAAAAGGATCGGCAGTTGACTTCTGACTCCAAACTGCCATGACCCCACTGTAGCGGCAGTTGGTTTTTTGACTTCAAACTACCATCACCCCACTGTATGTCAAATTCTACCACTTTCACAGTACTCACCTCACCTTTTCTCTGCCTATGTGTCTGTCTGGCTCTTTTACATCTGTGAATCATTATTCTGTTCCCCCTCTCGAATTTTTATCACTTTAAGGTTCCTCCCCTCTGTGAAGCCCGAAGCCAACTAAAGGGCTTACGATAACTTTCATAAAGCCTGCCATTTGATATAAATAAATATTCATTAAGCCTTAACCATGCTTGAACGCAATTTATACATTGAGCTCCTGAATAATCTTTGCTTAGTAGTAATCCTCTCCATTGCACAACTACTATTTCCTTTTCATACTCTATTTGTCGATACGAAATTTAATTGATCATTACTTGAGCAAATTTTGTCACGCATTTTATTATACTAGAATGTAAATGCTTAAGTATTAAATTTGGCGAAATATAGGGAAAACCCGTCACTATTGGAGGAGGAGAGTTTGACCTCTTCAATTCTTAAGAGGCACTTTAACTCCTTTGGTCTAAAAAAATATTTATTTATTTATTTATTTATTTCAAATGGCAGGCGTTTTGATAGATATCATTAGCAATTTAGCTGACTTCGGGCTTCACAGAGGGAAGGTTCATCAAGGTAGCAGAAGGTCGAGGAGTGGGGAACAGAAGAGCGATTCACAGATGTAAAAGAAACAGACAGACACAAAGGTAAAGAAAAAGCTAAGGTGAGTTCTGTGGACGGGGTCGAATATGACAACCAGGGGGGTCGTGGTAGTTTGAAGTCAGAAGTCAACTGCCAAATAATAAACTTTTTTGCCGTATGAGTATACGTTGCCCAATGTGCACCACGTGGAGGTAAGTCTATCGCACACCCCTGGTCTAAAAAGTTATTTAAAGCATTTGGAAATCGGCTACTGGAAGGCGCTGTAGATATTGAACGCTCTGAGGTGAATAGTTACGATTTTAAAGACAGGAATTGGTTGGATCGGCTACTGTAGTTAAGTTCTATGCCAATAATTGTAAATTTTATACAAAGATATATATGTAGCGTAGTTTCTTACTCAAGAAAATGACATTACTTTTTTCAAACCGATAATTTGACAGCGGAGTCAACCGGA